CTTCGATGACAATGCGAAATGCTAACCTCCAAAACCGGGTGGGACTGCCGCGTCTCCACGTAGGACGGTCATCGCCGGACCCTAATTCGGTCCTTGCAGAAGGATCCGAGGGAGGGCATGTAAAACGAGGGAAGTTTCGTCGGGAACTCTGTGAACGTAGCTTACAAAGGTAAAGAGGGTACGGGCGAGGGAAGGGGGGATGGCTGGCTGGGTAGAGAAGCAAAGCGGAAGGGAGGCTGCACCGGTAGGGCAGGAAATTACGTCTCCGGACGTCCGTTCGTTCGGCTTCAGAGCCTCTATCTCGCAACACGAGGCTCCTTCGCTGGTCCAAGGAAAAGGGACAAGCCAGGAAGCCTGCAGAATCGCGTACGGGCTTTAAAGACTCGTCTCTGAACGGGAACAAGCGCCGGGTGGGCTACGCTAAGATGGACGATCCTCGCCTCAGCCTAAGATAGCACACAAGTCCAACTTTATCTCACGTCACTCTATTCGATTCACCATTGTTCGATATTACGTCACGTCCATCAGATTCAGGCGCCATTTTCACTGTTTTCATCCTTTTTGTGCTGTTTTGTCTTCTTTAAGGTACATCAGATTCATAACTAGTCAGTTGAACCTAAGCAATCTCTGATGTACCTCAAGGGACTTCAGACCTTGTAAACTATACCTAAAAAATGTGGCACGTTCTATAGTTTTTGGTATACTTCGTTAATAACCCAACTGGTATGTTTTAAGTATGGTTTTTATTGTCATAGCAAATTTGAGATCATGTTTTCGTATCATTTGAGGTTATCAGACATCCAAAGTGAAGTTTCATTCAATTAATTTAACTAACCTAACCTAACCTAAATTATATACAAATTGTCAGATTAGAAAATGGAGTAGAAACGATATTTCCCGAGGTTGTAAACAGAGTCTTAAGCAACGAGGGGCGACCCGATCAGGTTTGAAATCTTTATAAATGGCGGGTCTTTCTGAAAATATCCGAGCAGCCCTGAAATAGCCGTACCTCTGGACAGTTTCAATTTGTGATAGTATCACACGTTCGTCCGCCCTGGCCATTCTCGTTCCTCTCTCACTGGGACAGCAACCCTTTCGCCATCACGAGCCACCTGCTCTTCCGACCGTTTCACCCCTCGTTTAACAAACGACGCCCGATTCGTATCCTCACCCCTGCCCGGTGGCTTCTGCACGTGCAACTTTCCAAAAAGCTTAATTCCACTGTTTCGGCCATCGATTCACCCAGCCAACCCCGACCGACCATCGATTTCTCTCCTTTTCAAATATCCCTAGCCACCCCTCCCCCCAAGTATTCTTGCACAAATCGCAAAGTTTATAACAAAATTCTTCATAGACGTCTATAATTCCTGGATTTGGGAATATTTAAACATTTTTGACGTTGTTTAAATATTTGGGGGTGGGTAACAAGGCATTTGAACGTTATTTGAAGACAGTGGAGAGGCTGATTAGACCGCGACGTCAGGACGGATAAGGTAGCCGTGTGTACCTATCGGGCGGGCGAGCAAAGTAAAATGAGAAAAGACAACAGCAACAAGACAGCGGAACCCGGTCACGGAAGTGTGGATTACAATCAGAGAGAGGCGAAACGAGCGACAGGTCGACTCGCAGGCCCCCAGGCTTGATTGCACCACAAATATTGACGGCGCTGATTCCACCGACCCCGTTTACCCGTCGAAGGTGACGAGCTACGCTAATGAGAGGTTTAAGATGTCACCGAGGCTTCCTTCAGAAATTAGAACCTATCAAAAGATTCGACCCAAGTCGTCTCGGCAAAGGATTTTACGTCTTCCTTGGGAATTAATAGAAGTCGTCAAGCGTCCTTCAATAGAAGTCATCAAAAGTCGTTAATTAGGTAAAATTCTTGAATAGTCGACACAGTTTAATATTTAGTAGGTCTTTTGAGAAGCAATAGTCATTTGGTTTAGTGAAATCTTGCAAGACGAATTTGTCCTGATCCAATAGAAGTCATCAAAAGTCGTTAATTTAGTAAAATTCTTGAATAGTCGACACAGTTTAATATTTAGTAGGTCTTTTGAGATGCAATAGTCATTTGGTTTAGTGAAATCTTGAAAGGGAAATTTGTCCTGATCCAATAGAAGTCATCAAAAGTTGTTAATTCAGTAAAATACTTGAACAGTCGATACAGTTAAATGTTTAGTAGGTCTTTTGAGATGCAATAGTCATTTGGTTTAGTTAAATCTTGAAAGGGAAATTTGTCCTGATGCAATAGAAGTCATCAAAAGTTGTTAATTCAGTAAAATACTTGAACAGTCGACACAGTTTAATATTTAGTAGGTCTTTTGAGATGCAATAGTCATTTGGTTTAGTTAAATCTTGAAAGAGGGATTTGTCCTGATTCAATAGAAGTCATCAAAAGTCGTTAATTCAGTAAAATACTTGAACAGTCGATACAGTTAAATGTTTAGTAGGTCTTTTGAGATGCAATAGTCATTTGGTTTAGTTAAATCTTGAAAGAGGGATTTGTCCTGTTGGGAATATTGCCCGGTGGACCCGCATGGCATAATAGACGTTTTTGCCGGCTAATTGTAAGTTCCCGTTCCGGTTAGGTGGCTCGTGGGGGTAAAGGCGGCTCGAGAGTCAGCGTGGTGGAAAAGTAGGAACTGGAAGGGTTCGTTGCAATCAAGCGAACTCTGGGTGTGAGGTAGTGGGATGCTCCTCCGTTTTCTCACGGCTTGCATTATCTTCTCTGGCTGTGTTACCTCTCCAACTTCAGAGCCAAACGAGTTAACGAAGGAGGCGGAAGTCCCTCTTTCTCTCTTCACTCTTTCACCCCTTTCGCTCTCCAGTGCTGCCTCTCTTTCACCCCTAGCTTCTTTTTGTTCCACTCTTTCAGCCGTTGCCTTCTATCCCTCTGCGCTCTTCCTTTTTCTCTTCGTTCTTTCGCCCTCTCTTTCACCCCCCCCCCTCTTCTGTCCGCTCTTCAAGTCTTTCTGTTTCCCTCCTCCGATTCATCTCCTCTCACCCTTTCTGTTTCTTTTCCTATCTCCTTTGGCCCTTCCACGTTCGGCCACGTCTCTTCCCCCTCTCCCCCTCCACGCCTTCGTCCTTTCACCAGGTCCTCTGTATCCGGCTGAAATCACTATTGATCGCCTCTGTAAAATAG